CCAGGGGGGGGGGTATCTAAACACACAGCTTTACTTTGATCGACATCAAAAGCAGTGGTGAAAGGGGGTATTCAGATCCTGAGGTAAAAATAGCAATATGCCTTACTATCATGTTTGAAGTTGGTCAGGATGGAGCTCATTTGAATTTACTCAAGGGGACACTTCACACCCAAATAACAAAATATTTTTCCTCCCCTGTAGTGCTATTCATTAGCCAACATTGTTATGGTGTGAGCTGTTAGGTGTTGGAGACGATGGCTGTAAAGATGTCTGCCCTCTCTCCAGTATAACAGGACTGGATGACACTCGACTTGTGGTGCTCAAAGTGCTAGAGGAAATACATTTGAAAAACTCAACAGCAATGTCTCTCTCTAGAAATCATGACCCAGTCACTCAAGATAATTGACAGATGTTGTGAGCAGTTTCATGTAGGGACTATTTTCTTTCAATTGAACTACACCCATCAACTGTAACACCATGCAGAAGGAAGCGTGCATCTACTCATAGACGAGAGGCTTGTGCGCTTGACAGGGCGAGATGTAAACACTAATGGCGTCCTCCTTGGCTGAGCTGGGGCAGCTGTGGCTCAGAGGTAGAGCGGGTCATGTGTTGAAGTATCCTTGGGCAAGATACTGAACCCCAAATTGCTCCTGGTGGCTGTTTCATCTATGTGTTAGTGCCTGTGGATGGTTACCGTGTAGCAGATGGCACCATGTATAGTAGCCTCAGCCACCAGTGTGTGACTGTGTGTGAACGGGTGAATGTGACATGTCGTGTTAAAGCACTTTGAGTGGTTGAAAGACACAAGCTGAGTGTTATCTGTGTCTATTATACTGGAGAGAAGGCAGATATCTCTTTGGCCAATTACTGATTTTTGGGCTAACTGTCTCTTTAAGGGTACGTGCTGTCTGTCATGGGGCCCAGTGGATTGCACACTACAAAGCATAGTGTAGGTCAAAACATCATTCAGCATGAATACTGGGCTTCCATGCTCGACCAACTTTTCGCATTACTAGGTATTTATAACTGTCAATGGGATCTTCTGCAAATTTCAGATGCTGATATATCACTTAGTTACTTCCAACACTCCCAAGAAACTAAAATACAACTGCCATAAAAATAGAAAGTTAAAAACAGATTGAACTAAATGTTGTCAATTGGAAAGCCGTCACCCGTCATGGAGCCTACAGTGTTTGAACTGACAAATTTAGGGTAATGCTGAGTTTCACTTGTTAATCCAGATTATGCAGACATAAACTTATGTAAGCAGGCTTTCTGTCTGCCCTAGATTATGGTGATGTCATCTGTATGCGTGTATAAACTGCCACAACTGCTTAAGATCTCTAGATCCTGTTTATCACTCTATTTTTTGACAATTCACTCTCTCTACATTTTAAGGTACGCACTATGCTTGGACGCTATAAAGGTATAACCTGAAGGTATTATTTTCAATACCGTTGAAAATACAGATGTTTCTCTTTCTATTAAACTGATAAGAAGATGCTGCCGAGGCGATGTATTGTACTGCACAGCAAGCTCCACTACAGGTCAGTCTCTACTGGTGGAACAGGCAGCTGAGCTGAGAAAGATGGTGACTGTGGGTGGTGGGGATAACATCTTAGGACGTCCATCCATCCATCCATCCATTTTCTAACTGCTTATCCTCTTGGGGGTAGCTGGGGGGGGCTGGAGCCTATCGCAGCTGACACTGGGCGAGAGGCAGGGTACACCCTGGACAGGTTGCCAGACTATCGCAGATCTGACACATAGAGACAGACAACCATTCACACTCACATTCACACCTATGGACAATTTAGTGTCACCAATTAACCTGCATGTCTTTGGACTGTGGGAGGAAGCTGGAGTACCCAGGGAAAAACTACGCTGACACGGGGAGAACATGCAAACAAGTGTCATCAGGTCTTCAGCAAGAAGGGCGCCTGTTTCCTATCTGTCCAAAGCCCAGTTTCCACCAAACACTTGCAGTATGGTACCTTTGGAACCAAGAGTAACCCTTCAGACATGGTACCTAGACCCTCGCATGTCCGCTGCAAACAGTACTCTTAAATGTGGGCAGGGTTGTTGTCACTCACTGCTCCGTCCAGCACTCACTGTGTTTCCGCATTACTACTGACAGAGATGGAAGTCTGCACCTTGTTTATCGTCCACAGAACAAGGCTGTACCCCGACATTTTCAGAGCAAAATAACACAGGCTGCAGTGAGCGTCTCTCCATGGGATGTTTAAAAATAGCGGTTTGTGCACTAGTCCTTCCAAGGAAAGCTCAGAGGTTAAGTGTTGCCGAAGCCCACAGGAACTACATTCCACAACGCTTTTTTCTCCAAGTGAGAAGTGGGATATATGCCCTCCCGTTAAAAAATGACATACATAAATGTTTGAGGATCCACTCATTACTAAAATTGTATGTTATATAAAAGCTGATGGAATGGTCACAGTTGTCACAGTGAAATTTAAGTTGTGCTGATTGATCCATGTTGTCAGTGCATGCATTGAGTAACATTACAAGTTAATGTTCCACCTTAAAAGTCGCCGGCAGTCGGCTCAGTGAATTAAAGTTCTAAAAAATAAAACCCACAGTATGAACAGTGGTTACATGAGCCTCAAAACCAGCCACAACTCAGCCCTGAGCAGAGTGACTGTCCTCTATTGACCAATCAAACTGCAGTGTTCACAGCTCCACCTTTTAGTACCAGATCTGTGTGCTAGGTACCCCAACAGAGGGGGGACCAAAAATGGGGACCGTACGGAACGGTTCCATTGGTACAACCCATTTCACAGTGGAAATTGAAACAAGTGTACCGAACTGAACTGTACTGTTCTGCTCGGTGGAGATCGGGCTTAAGAGGGCTACTTGCATATTACAAACACTGCATTGTAGGCTAGACATTGACAACTATGCTACACTGACTTCTATCAGCAGTAGCTAATACACTGTGTACCCCAGTGAAATGGCAGTAAGGTATGAAGGTACAAATGCACATGCATCACTGCTTGTGTTTGCCCAGGAAGCTTTTCTAAATAGACTACTGATTTGCCTGAAGTCCTCAAGAGGACATTTGACGCTTATCAAACTTGTTCTGCAGGCTCGCCTTTGCTACCTGTTCCAACAGTAAAGACTGTAATCTCTGCTGTAAAGCAAATGCGTTGCTTCACGCTGACAGGAGTAATCCACCATAGATTAAGAAACTTGATCGACAGGTTTGAGGAACTCAGGGTTCATTAAAGGCTTAAATCTTTGATGTAAATGTTTAATGTTTTGATACTGTATGAAGTTTGTATCTTGATGCACTTGGTTAATCATTTGCTTTTAACTCTAATGTTAACCCTTTCACGTGTAGTGGTCACTGCAGTGGACAGCTGATTAAAAGCCATTTTCTTGTATATGCATGGGTTTTGATGCCATAGTTGCATTTTCGTCATTACAGTGGACCGCAGTGCGTCATGTCATAGACTGCTCCCCACTGGCCAGGTGTTGTCAGTGCAACACAAAACACTCAAAACCAAGATGGCAGTTGTGCCCCTTAAGAATATCTTGCTAATGCTTCTATAATAGGAGCTCCTGGCAGGTAAATAAAATCTAGTAATATTAAGTAACATCTAGTAGAGTTGTTAAATTTCCACATATTGATTATATGTTGTGAGGGAATTGCAGTTAATCATCTTTCCAATAAACTGGGCATCATGCATCGCTGGCTATATTTCACTTACTTCATCTGCAGTGGATGTTTGGCTGTGAATCAATTATGTTATAAAAAGGGAGTGTACAGTTTTTTTTGTAACAGAAACAATACTTTGACAATATTTTTGTTGTTTTAGCAGAAAATGTTCATGAAGTCCAACAGGAGGAGGTGGGTAGGGGGGCTGAGGAGTGAAGAGGAAGGAGTTGAGAGGGAGGAAGGGAGGAGTAGAAAGAGAGATGAGTGACACTTGGGAGTTCAACGCTTTTGCATAGCATTGAACAGTATTAGAATTTGTTAAGTGTGAGCACATTAGTTTAACAGCATTACAATATATTTTTATAGTTTCACATGATATTTAACATTTTTTAATTGGTTTATATATGTTTTAGTTTAAACCACAACTTTTTTTTATGTCTAAAGAAGAGTAAAAACACGTAATAAAAAAATCTTGACTTAAGTTGTAATAATTCACATATGAAATTGTTAAGTCCTTTGTAGAATACAGGTTGCATTTCATTATTTTTTCATTAGCTTTGGGTCTGTCTTCAGCAGATTAGATCATCTGAAGAGGATTTTTTAAAATTTCACAAATCCCAGGAAATGATTGCACAACATTAACTATGTCTGGACAACCCCCGGACAGTTTGGCTCGTCATAGGGCTGTTCTTGAACTTTACAGGCACCCTGACATGGAAATTTGGGCATTAGTCAAACTGCTCAGCTGAGTCACATCAGAGACTCTTGACTCAGCTGGAGTTCATTTAAAATGTAAACCAAAAGTGATGTTGCAGCACGGACTGCTGGTTTATGTTTACATTCCCTCCTTTCCCTCCCGAACAGGAAAACAAATTCCAGTCAGATTTTCCAGGGAGTGCTCTTCCCGAAACACTGTGTTTAAATTCAAAAGACCACAGTCAACATACAGTGTTGGCTTGTTTTTTATTCTTCATGACAAAAGTGGTTCACAGGTCAATGAAAGGAAACTGCATACACATAAAAAGTTGAGGACCATCAGATGTGTTATGCGGAGTGTGTGCATGTCGTCCTATAGAACAATTTACACAGAACGCAGACCACATAAATACAGTTAAAATATTATACAACAATGGTAATTAAATTATACACACATCTGTGGAGTGAATTAAATAGATTAAGAAATCCATTTACAAACTTCGAAGCAACAGGACACAATGTTAAAGCATTTCCACTTTTTAGCAAGGCAGTGTTTTTGATACATTATCAACTTGATTTCCTTCATTTATTATCCATTAGTTTTACTAATAGGTTCATGCCAGCTAAAAAATGAAAACATTTCAACAAAATAAGATATCGCTTTATTCAGTGTGAACACTGCTCGTTGAGTTTCCTCAAGAGTAAATAAAACATACTGGTCGAAAAAGATCACAACTACAGTGTTGAATAGTAGCCTCTGTTTCAGAAAATGTGATGTAGTCTAAAAACAACAGACAAGTTCAAAAACCAAGGCACTAAAAATAAACAAATCAGCAGGATGTGGCCTTTTTTCTATGAACCACGGGACAGGTGAGCTTACAAAAAAATGGATGTCAACATTTTCTTACGTTCAGTTCTCTTTTCTTAAACATCCTTTTTCCAAATGTGGTCTTAAAGATCATGATTGGTCTCATCGGGTGGATTCAGTTTGAGTTTAGACTGCATTCAATGAGACAGGTGTTTAGTTTTAACGTATGTGCCACTGTCCTCAAATCACAGCCCTGGCATCAAACTACTCTACAAGCAGCAAGAAAAGAGCCCCTGGTTGAGGAGCTCTGCCTTGCAAAACAATGCCAGGTTGGAGTTAGATCTCTCTGAAATATTTTTGTTCAGTAAAATTTATTAGGGGGTCCCAGCAACACTTGCTGCTGGAGCCCTATTGTTTTCATACTTTGTTTTTAGTCATAATGTACCACTAGATATTAAGCACTGAGAAGTGCTTTTAAAATTATGGGACAGTATTATTTAATTTTTCTACAAGCAGCGACTCTAACAGCAGCCTGCTACACACTGCACTATTAGCATTCCTAAATGAAAACAATGGATGCCGTAGCCACAGGAGAAGAAAACTAGCCTGTCGTGGGTAATACTAGTTCATTACAACATGCCTATTTTGGTAGCAGACAGAAGCATGGTGACATGATGGAGTAGAAAACATGAGTTTCGTTGCTTTGCTGTTCAAAGTGAGAAAAAGCAGAAGCTGAATGGGAACTGTTATAATGATTACGTAATCAAGAGAAATGTGCATGGCCCAATATGTTACGATTCGTTTTAGGTAAACCAAGCCACTTGAGTCTTTTAAAACCCACAGCCAAACAGGCAGGAAATTACATTATCAGCCAATGGGATGCTTGCATTTGTGCCCCTTGGCACCTCCAGATGACGTCCAAAAGCTGCTTATTAAGAGAAATGCTAAAGCAGCTGCAGTCAGCCACTGTATACTAAAAGAAAGGCAAGTTTTAAAACCCACCCTGACCCTAAAGAACAGCAGGAAGTATACAGGCACTGTCCTGACTTGGTCTGCATAGTTTGCAAAGTAAGATACGCATTAAAGATCTCCCAAATCATGTCTCTGATTACTCTTTTTGACCTGAGGTGGTGGACTTATGGCTGATCTGTTTCCATCAATGAAATGTTTACTGACCGCTAGTTAAAGGGCGTGGCTGATGGGCAAAAGCCGAAGAGCCAGAGATGTAACAGGATAAAAAAATGTAACAATACCACCAGTGGAAATGGGGGAAACCTCAAGACGGTAGCAGGCTCTCTACTTGTGGGATAGCAATTATGTTAAGGCTGCACTGTTCTACAAAAACATCTACCTGGGAGGGCTATCACAGATGATCTAATGGCTTACAGACACTAAAAGACGCCAGACAGGCCTGACCAGAAAGCCAGACTAAAGGCAAGAGTGTAAAGACGTAAAGCCTTAAAACAGATCATAGCCTTGAATCAGAGTCTGAGGACAGTAAATACTGCACACCAAAAGGTCTCTCGTTCTGGGATAAATACTGTCAATGGTTCACCACAACACACAGCAGCCTTGAACAAGACCAGATGGGAGTTGGATCCACTCGGGACAAGACAGTCAATGACTTCACAGAGCAATGAGCAGCACATTTGTCTCTTCATCCTTCTCCAGGCTGCATGCAGGTTTCTCCGCTCCAACAGAGAAAACCAAGAGGACGGGATGAGAGATTCTTTTTTTAAAAAAAAAAAAATCCATGGTTCTGGTGGGTAGACTGGGGGGAATGTTGCATCATATCTGGGATGGACAGGATGTCTTGAATCAGGAAAGGAGGAGGGAGCCGGGGAGTCAACATGAAGACAGGTCCTTATGGAGAAGAGGGGGTTTGGAGTAATGGAAGGAGTGTTTCAGCGCTACAGAGACAGGGTGAGACAGAGACAAAGAAACATGTTTAGTTCAAATAAAAAAAAAAAAAATGAAAATTAAGTGAAAAGGGTGAGGGTAATTCATAAGGATAAATGGATCAATACAACATATAAAAAGGATCAGCAAATTAGGACCTGCAAACAGCTACATGAGGTGTATAAAAGCAAACAATGCTAGCATTAGCTCTAAACAAATTCTGTCCAAAAACACACACAAATATTAAAGATATGAGATTTAATCAATTATGGCATTAAGGATGGTTTATTTATTTTTATAACATAATGTATAGCTAAAGATAAAGTGGTGTCGTACAGGCATAAGTCTGCTCCTACTTTATTTCACCGCCTGCGAGATGATTTAGAGTGTGCGCTGCGGGGCCTGGCAGGTGTACCCTGAGCTTTATTACCGCCACTCCTACTCACAATAACAAGCGGTTCCTCAGTGGTTCTACTCGTGGAGGTGGATAATCTACGCCTCGACTCCCTACAGATGCCTGTCATCCTGTTCTTACCAGGTGGATTGTAACCAGGCTGGGATGTGGTTGTCTGCGCCCCTGAAGATTTAGCATTCGACTGAGGAGGGGCTGCATCTGACTGAAACGTGTTGCGGCATGCCGCTGCTGCTTGGACAGAATTAGACCTGTAACCAAACTGTTTTCTTCTAACAGACGTATCTGAGTTTGGTTTTACATCAGGCTTTTGTTTAATTTCACCACATGCTTCAGATGTGTTAGGATACACACACAACGCTTTAGTAGAGGTTAGATTCTCTATGGATGGAGAGAACAAAGAAGACTTTAGCTTGGTGGATGAGGCCGGTACAACACGAGTTGTTATGAAGGTGTCCTGACGTACAGGGACTGAAGCTCTCCGGCCTGACGCGCCTTTTCTTGCTTCACTGACTTGTGTTTTTTTTACCATTATCTCGCTGTTTGCAGAGCTGGTGGAGCCTTTACGTGTTGGAGAGTAGCCAGAACTTGATTCTGTGTTAAAAACATCACTGACACTATGACTTCTAACGAAGGTGGCGTCCCGTGGGAGACCTTTGCCTCTGCCAGAGCGGCTGCTTGTCTGGACGGCGTTGTCGGGACAAAGAGAGAGAGAGGTTCTTACAGGGCTTGTGTGGAGGCTTCGGGTTAAGCTTCGCAGGTGGTGCGTGGCCATTGCAGACACGCTGCCACCGAGAACAGGGCTGGCCCGTGGACTGCTTCTCAGTGGAGGGCGCGCTGGACTGCTTCGAGGGCTCCGTGGGGCCCGGCCTGACTTGGTGGCCAGCTCTTTGGCCCGGGAGCGTCGGGGGCTGCTGTTCAGGCTGTGGGGAGACAGAGGGGCCTCCAGGTCCTCCAAACGCTGAGTGAGAGCCAGCTTCTGCTGTATGGCCATACGCAGCAGAGAGTTCAGAGTCTTCTTCTCATCCTCGGCTGCTGCCAGCTGCCTCTGCATCTCGTCCAGCTGGGTGACATACTGGTCACACCTGAGAGATCATGCACAACAAAGAGATGCAACATGCACACGCAGGCAAAAACACGTTAAAGCACAAATTCAGAAACACACGACACATGCTAAACATGACTTTTAGTGTTGTATGCAAACTTTAAACACTGTGAACAGCTGTGACCAAACACTCGGACCATCTGCAACTAAAGATTATTGTCATTATTGATTAATCTGGCAGGTTTTTGTTAAATTCAAAGGCAAAACATCAAATGATCACAAGTTATTGAAGTGATGCCTTCACACTTGTTATATTTTTGGACCACAAAATTATTGACTTTACATAGATATAAAACAAAATAAAATCTGCAAATCCTTATGTTGACTGCACACTAATAACAGTTTCAAGAGAAAGATAAGAGGGGTGTATGTGAAGATGACAACAACAGGATTCAAACTTGACTGAAATAAGAATTTAAAAATGAACACAAATGCAGTCACTCAGGTTATCCACATGATGGCACCACTAAACTTAATTACAAACCAAAGGATCTTTAAGCTGTAATCTTTAGCTGCAACAGACAGTAGCAGTCCTTGACCACTGTCTGTTCTACAATCCTTCTTAGGGATAATCATATGCCGGCTCATAACTGTCTGGAGACGGCCCAGACAGGTAATGCATGTCTAAGAAGCTTCTCTGGCAATTATTAACAAACGTTCTTTTGTCCAGAACAAAAACAGAAAAAAAAAAAAAAAAAATTAGTTCCCTCACTCAACCCAACACAAAATCACCCCTCATGCCAACGGTTTCACAGAAGAGGTTAGTGATTAGTGAGTAAAGTGTTGTGATTTGTTTTAGGGCTGTACCGAATGTCCTTTTTTGTAAACATCTGAAGCTTCTGTTGATGTTTTCAAATGAAGCTTTGAAAGTCTGTTGTCATATTTTATGATTTTATCACCCTAAAAAAAAAATCCTTTAAGAAAATCCTCAGTTTGAATAAAGGGATTTATCGGATTAAATAAGTTGGTCTCTTATTAAATCAGCTTTCTTTAATGAATGAATGTAACTTACGGTGCTGCGAAGACTGCTACTACACCACCACCACATTAACACACGTGGGCTAAACACCAACAAATATGGATTGAAGCAGAATATTTTGTTGGACAAAACCATGTTGTGAATTTAGCAAATCATTACATCTGGAATTATTTTACAAATAGTTTAATATTCATTTTACTTGAGCCTAATCTTTGTCTGCAACCGTGCAGAAATACCAGGTTCAAACAGAAATAACAGACATGTTGTCAAATGTTTATTTAGCATTCGGCACAGCCCTTATAAGTTTAACCCTTGACAGCACCTCCCCACCCTATCAAACATCCCACCCAACTCCAGCGTACGTTAGGCCTCTCCTTCCCTAAGGTGACCTGGCTTGATGGGACAAATCTGTCCTTGCCTCCTCCCCCATTGGCACAGGGCAGAGCATGTGGTTCATAATCTTCATGTGAACCAGTGGATTGTCCACAGGCGTAATAAGCATGGTAAGCTTATTACATGAGTGGCAGCAGAAGCTGTACCACAACAAGAGCACCATTACTAAGCATGAAAAACACGAGTTAAGAGCAGACGATCAGAACTAATTAACATGTTTCAGCTTTGAGAAATTCTAAAAAATCTCCTTTGTAAGTAAATACAGGGTTTTCTTATTTTATAACAAGGTTGAATATGATGCTTTTTACTTATACATAAAAGGAAAACTTACCGGCTGGCAAACATGACTCGCAGTGAAGAGAAGGTGGCAGCGTCCTCCTTCAAGGCTTTGAGCTCGTTCCGTAGTTTCATCATGGTCTCTGACACCATGCTCTTCTCTGTCTCATACTTGGTTTTCAAATTGGACAGAGCCAACTCTGCAGTCTGTGTTGACAAGACAGACAATTGCACAATCATATGCTGCTGTAGCACCATTGTTCCCTTTTCAAAGTGGGGTGTTTAAGTTAGGGGTGACAGATGATGGCTGATACAGATTATTAATAATCAAGGAGACCAATAACTGATACTTGGAGCCGTGTTAGTGTCACAATTCCAATATAGCAATTTCAAACCGTAAAAATTCTAAACATCACAGCCATTAATCAACCAGACCAATAATGGCTGATTAATGGCTGAATGATTACGACAAAATGTTGATCATGCACTTATTCTAAACTGATAGCACCATCATACTAGGGAGTCTCTATCCCTAATTTGGGCCTCTGTGGGTTTTGGAAATACCCTCAGAACAACAGAAAGTGTTAACAGCCTTTTTTGTATTTCAAATGTTGCCAGTTAATTATCTTTATAGAAACTGGCGGTCATTTCTGTGAAGTGAATGTATGCTAATACGTGATACTCAACTCAAATTTATTCATAAAGCACATTTAAAAACAACTCACGTTGACCGACGTGCTGTACAGAAGGAATACGTTGCTCAAAACACGTACACAAGAGGCAACATAGCGGTCAGGTACACAGCTCACACATTCAGAAAGACAACACACAGGCACACGTCAGAGAAAGCCACGTCAGAGGGACTCAAATGCTAATGAATAAAAGAAGGTTTTGAGCCTGGACTTTAACGAGTCAGTGGAGGTGGCAGATCTGATTTGGAGTGAGATGCTGTTGCACAGTTTGGGAGCAGAAAGCATGTATGTATGTGAAATGAAACACTATGAGGAGTTTATAGCATGATTATAGTTAGTAAAATTATCACAGCTATTGGTATTATCATGGTGTTGTTAATAAGTGCTGAAAGAGTTAAGTTCTTCCTGACTGCTGGACGACAACCATAACACATGTGCAGTAACATTAAAGACAGCCTGTCTTTGAAACGCTTGCTCAAGTGTCTATCTCTGTAGATGAGGACAACTGATCAGTAGCATCACTGGTTTGCTTGCTGCACACCCACTCTGTTAACACGGGAATAATAAAACAAACCCACACTGCATGCTGCTCCTGCATCTGGGACACTGTGTCTAACTTTGGTTGATGCTCAGTATTAACTGTGAGTTTTTCAAAGCACATTAATCAAACATGGTTTTAAAGATGATTAATATTTTAAAATGGTCGTACTAACCATCATGAATTTAACTGCAAGTCATCGGCAGCTGGTAACTGTTTATCCCTGATATACGTGTACTGAGGCTCCTGCTGCAGGGTGGGGAACACCATCCAACATGTACAAGTTAATCAGTAGTTTTTTTCTACATGTGATCCAACACTAAAATTATAATTGTCATCATTACTGTCCTTTTATTCCTATTTCACATTCCTACAATATGTACTCTGTTTAGGAGCAATCAGTAACAGAGCTAGGAAAGCAAATAAAATTATCTGGTAATGAAGACAGTATGCAAACAGTACTGTGAGTCTTTATCTGTGACTTGACTGCAATAACCAATGCAAAAGGTCTCATGTACAAACCATGATTACATAGGTGGAACAAACGGAGAGGCAACAGAGTCCTACAAATCAGACTTCAGAGGGTAAACTACCGTATGTGAGCATGGATCAGCAAACAGATTATCTTGAGTGAGTGAGCATGTGTGTGTGAAAAGGAGAGTGACAGGTAAAGGAATGACAGAAGCAGGCCATGCAGTGCTTGAGCCAAAGGAAAGAGCAGGGGGAGGCGAGAGGAGTGCAACATCACACTGTACGTGTGCGGGACCACGTGAGCCCAAGGGACTGTCTAGACAAGACACTGACAATACAGATCAAGCAAAGTGCTTGTGTCATGATAATGTGTGGATAAAGGTGGAGACCTGCTCTTCTGGTTTGGTCAGATCTGTTTTCAGAAAAGTAAAAAATATAGGCAACAGAAGACAGACTACATTTCACAAAAATCTTGCTGTACCAGAGCAGCTGTTCTCAGGATCTTATGTACACGCAAAGAACATAATGTAAACCAAAAAGGACAAATGTGGGACAGCTTATTTCAACTGACAGGCAACAAAAGGTCAGGCTGATTCAGAGCAGTACCCTACAATGGAAGACTAGCCTGTAACTGCAGTGTTGCAAGCGCTTGCTGTGACCTACCTGTTTGTTCGCCTTGAGGACAGTCCTGAGCGTGGCAATCTGCTCTCTCTTGGTGCTGAGAAGGGACTTGAGTTTGAGGACTTCTTCCATGAGGCTCTCAGCATCCCGCTCTGCCTCTCCGCTGCTGCTGAACCCTGAGTAAGGCATCGCACCCCTCTGACGACAGAGGTCCACTGCCACCTGAGAGAAGACAAGTTATTCATAAGAGTGAGTTTAGTGTGTTTGTTTCACCGACAACGTTAAACTTTTGTCAGAATTTCAGCACTGAAAACCTCTTCGCCTTATAGTATTGGATTGTTTAATATACGGTACATCCAAATATCACATTATCAACAAGGGCTGAAACCAAACAATCTGTTTAAAATGTGTAAAAGTAATCTAAGATTTCTTACAAGACTATACCAGGGAAGTTCCTCAAAACTAAGTTCCCTAAGTTTAAACATAAAATAGTTTGCTAGCCTTAAAGCAGGAAAACACTCTGAAAACAGTCAAAATTGAACAAACAAAACCGTTATTCAAATGCAGCTGAAATGTGCGGCTCTTTGCATCATGCATTATAAACATTGCACATTATCCCACAAAACAGAATTCACTTAATAAAAGTGAACAAATAACATTTATGTCCTGACTCATTGCCATACTGAGTGTGCACACAAACGTACACATAGTCCAGGCTTCTCAGGCCTCTCTTGTTCAGCTGAGTGAGAAAACATCCAGCCGGCACAAGTTTGTGTGAGGCTCAGACATACTTTACGCATTTACGTTTGTGGACAGCTCAGGACTTGTACCGGTCATGCACGCAGTTCTATCCATGACAGAGAGTGCATGTGCGTGTATGAAAAGACAGAGAAAAGGGCTGCCTTTGACGATCAGAGCCACTGGTTAGTCTCGCATGCCGATCCAAACTCCTCCCGTTTTCCTCTGGGTAATAAGTTAAACGAACTAGCATGTCTTGTGCCGAGTATATGATTTGAATAGAACTGTAGCAATGTAGAACACCAAGTACATGTGTTTAACTATGTAGAAACAAGTTCCCAGTGTTCCAGACGCAGCTGATTTCTGAAAGGATTCTCTGTAGACGAAGCAACAACTGGACTCTGACCCCTGATAATCCAATCCATTCAAACCCACACACACACACACGTGTCAACAAGTCCCACTCCAGGCGTTGGATTTGAGCTGACATGGGAGCTACTCAACTACATCTAACAGTCTGAGCTGAGCCTCGCTTAGCAAGAAATCTGTGAGGGAGGAAAGGCCTTTGCCCAGAACAAAAGCCTGGCTTTCAGTGATCGAAACACAATGAAGCAATTAGAGTTTCTGCACTGGCTGTAACTTTCAGATCACAAACAATCAAGTACTAGTAGAGAAGCACTCTAATGTCTGACATGCTGTATGTAATAAACAGTGCTGTCTTACCCGCAGGTGTTTGATCTGGCAACGGATGACTGCTACCAAGTTGCGGACGTTTGAAGGGTCCCTGAAATCCAGGGTAGGGGATCCAGGGCAGGTGGGAGATTCAGTGCTTGTTCCTGCACTGTCCACCTCCCCCATGAACTGCAGTGCTGAAGCTTTGGAGATGAACATGTCATTGGCTCGTGGCTTCTTCTGGGAGTTGTGCTGGGGGTAAACGTAGTGTGATCTTCGTGCACTACCTCCTGCACCACTTGACCTGGCACCATCGCGGTAATAGTCCAGGGTGACTCGTTTGGGCGTTAGGTTGTTGCACACGCAGATGTGGTGATAGAGGTTGGAGAGCTCCTCAGAGAACGCCAGCAGCTCCTCCTGGGCGACGCTCAAGTGCCCTTCTGAATCAATCGCCACTTTCCGTGTGGCTCCGATCTCCTTCTCCAGCTCACTGATGCGCTCCTGGTCCTGCTTGCTGGACTTGATGCACTGACGGATCTTGTCGGCCAGCTCCTGGGCCTCTGCCCTCCAACGGTCCTTCTCCTGCTTGTATCTCTGCTCCAGGGTGTTGTATCGAGCGCCTGCCTGAGACAGTTCATCTCTCAACTTCAGAAGCTCTTCACTTGCTGACCGCATGCGCGCCTCCAGCACCTCCTTGCTCTTGGTGTCTACTTCATAGTCGAAGACCGCATTGCCACCGTTGCCATTATCTGTCTCATCATTTCCCCTGTCGTCTGCGTCCTGGTTGTGCTGCTGGCTGTTATGCACAGCATCCAGCTGTTGGGTGAGAGATCCGACCTTGTCCTCTTGCTGACTGAGTGCCTGTTTGGTCACTACCAGCTGCATCTGGAGTTCCTCCACTTTGCTAGCCAGACCGGACTTCTCTCGCTCTGCCTGTGTACGCAAACACACAAAGGATGAAAATCTTGACAGGAATTAACATATATGCACTTTTTTTGTTCTGTTTAAGGTTTCTACTTGAAAATGCAAATGCTTTAATGGTCAAAAAATCCTTTAATTACCTCATACTGTCACTGCTGGAACACCTGTATTTGTTCTCAGTCTGAAACACTCTGTTTAGCACCTGTCTCTTTAAGCCCCCAACCCAAAAAAAAAGCCCACTCTGCTTTAACTGGTCAGCATTCCCAAGTCCTCCAACTCTCTGTGCTGTCACTGCAGCTGGTGGAATGGCTGTGCAAATAAAAACTTTTAAACACAAACGGACGTGTTCCAGCAGGAGTATGAACCAAAATTGAGGAAAAATTAACAACATCAGCAGCAGACGATCATATTTTTAAAAAAAAAAAAAAAATAAAAATAATCTAGCATACTTTGACGTCATACTGTAGCCAGAGTAGAAAACACACTTGGAAACAGAGTATTCAGAATGATAGGATGCCTGAGGCTATTGCTCACACGGCTGCTTCTACATATGTTCACCTCATTATTTAAAACTTTGGCCACATTTGATATCAACATCCTTCACTGTAACATAAAAACATGAAAAAGAATAATGGTTCCCTATTATTAATGAATGAAAAATGTTCATAAGCATCCATTCTCATCTAAGCTAGGCCAACAGTGATTGTTAATTACTTTCGAGAAAACAAAAGAACAGTTCTCATATAGCACAAATTCCTCCCCCCACCACCTTTACTCTTCTTAATGCATTTTTCATGTCAAACGGCAGCTGACCCCATTCAGCTCCACACCCAACATCTGGTGGGCTGGCGCTCACTAACCCAACCCTTGATTTAAGTGCATCATGAATAATATATCGCCTTCAGACAGAGAGGGATGATGGTTCAAGACATCCTTGACTTTCTCAAGTACCCTGTATTTGTGAGGTGTGACTGTATCAAGTGGGAGTTGCCTGAATTGCTTGGTGAAGAAGATCAGTTTTTCGTGTCAAGGACCCTTAAGTTGATACACGTTGGGTTATGGACCCCCATTTGATAAGATTTCACTTAAGGGACCTCCATCTGAAAAGATTTTGGTTGTCAGATATCATTAACTGTTGTCAACAGCAGTTAAGGCGATAACCACAGAGGAAGTGAAACCTGTGATTAGAATTTTCACTCTTATGACTCTTACTCACATTGGACTCACTTCTATAGTGATAAAATAGTAAAAATTAACCATTCCCAATTTTTCTAGGGACAACCTGAAACTCCTTCAAGGACTCTAGGTGTCCCCGGACCCCTGGTTGAGAACCACTTTAGTAGATGATATGACGTGGTGCCAGGTGCTTTTGATGACTGTAGAAAGGCACACTCCTTCACCAACATACAGGGGATGTGGTCTAAAGCAGGAAGTGGCAGACTTCCCCGTCAACAGCTGTGATACAAACCAACCTGTATGACTTCCTCACTATTCGGCCTGATTAGAACAGATTCATGCAGTTCTGTAAATAATAGAAAATGCTAATATACACTGCATTAATGAGTGCATTGTGTTGCAGCAGTGTAAAGGCTATTATTAAGTTCTTACAAATTGGCATTACTTATCTTGTCAATGTAATTTAAATAATACAATGCAAGTAAACACTGCTCCAATCTTTTTTTCTCTTTGGTGCACTATTAATACGTTTAAAAGAGTGACACATGCTGTGTTGTTGCCTACCTGTAGGAGCTGCTGTTTTAGTTTCTGACTGTCTGAAAAGTGCAGCTCACTCAGCAGGTCCGACACCAGCCCAGACGCTGGCGCACGCAGGAAGACGTCACTGTTGCGTGGAGTGGAGTAGCGATGGATGAGGCCGTTACTTTTTGAGCCCCCCAAGTGAGGAGGGTGAGCAGAACCGGGAGCAGACCCAGGACCGTTATTAATGCCGCTGTCCTGATCCTCTCCCTCCCCTTCTCCCTCTCCCCCCTGGCCCTCCTCCTGGCTGTCATCCAGCTGCTCCAAGTGGAGCTCCAGGTTCCCCACAGAATCAAAGGGGTTAAGGGTCAGGGCGGAGAGCTCCCGCCGCAGACAGTTCTTCTGCTCCCTCTCCTCCTTCAAGGCTTCCAGGGCCTCATCCAGCTGCCTCTCTGCTATCTCCCTCAGCCTTGCTGCCTCCTCCATCTGAGCTCGTAACTCATCCTGCTCCTCATTCTTCTGGGTCAGCTCCAGCTTTATCGATTCAAACTCGACCTAAAATGGAATAAGGAGCACATCGGCTGTTAAGACATCTTTCTCTTTTGATTTATGCAACACATATCGTTGCATATTCCGGCCCCAGCTCACATACATACCTATCACTGCATTCAGCACAACAGTGTTAAAGTCACACACCCACTTTGTCTTGGAAATAAAGTCACACGCCTACTTTCTCTTTGAAATGGATATGTACAATTCCTCCCACTATTATAGAGTTTAAATCTTGTATATTTTCTTTATATAATATATCCATTTCGTCGACTCATTTGCTGCCTGACCCAATATTTACATGCAGTATACATATAATAACAATACTACATCTATTACATTAAAACTGCAACTGTGTGACTGAGAGTCCTTCAATCATTTGAGAGTTTCTTGTAAAACAACAAGACAAGGACTTCTGACAGGATTTCAGCGACTCTGAAGGCGAGAGCAAGCTGTTATCTAAATGTCCGCTGAAGGATCATGGACGCACTAACAGGCCTCGGCTACATTTAGAAACAGTCATGGACAGTTTGTCTTGGCAGAGCTGTAACGTACACAGAACTCACATCTGCATTCGGAAGCACTCGTCTCCCATCCTCAAGAATCTGAGCAATGACAGTTCACATAACTACATAATATAACTGACAATAATACAGAACATCCTTATCAACATTTTTGCAATGCATTTTGAGCACATGGAGTAAGACTGAGATGTTAGCAACTACAGAAAATGTCTGAAGCATTTGGAAGGTATGCATATGTTTATAAAACTTTGGTAGCTAGCATTTCTGGTATTTTTTATGATGCAATGACACAAATTAGGACCCTTCAGTATGCTTTTGTCTTGCATGATAGCAAATCATTAACTGAGGAAAACAGTACGTGTATGTTAACATTATTTTTGCTCATTTGTGTTGAATTAAATTTTATGATTTTAGAGAAAATGTACCTAAGTTATCATTTTAATCCTTTCAATGTTGGACACTTTGTCCTCAGCTAAAAATACAAATTATTACTTAATTATTTCCCAAAACATTCAAAGTCATCCAAGACTTGAAAAACATTCTGAAACTGAGTGTCCAGCAATCACTTGTAAATCATGAAACTGCTAGGCTGGAGCCTGGTTGCCATAGTGCTACATGCTTCTATAATTATCTCTTTATTTCCTGCTGCATATTGCCAGCAAAATATTTCATTGGACATGATGTCTGGCTCTCAGGGGAGGCAGCTACACTGGGAATTCACTGACAAACAGATCAGGTGATCAAACTTTTGTGCTCAGCTGTGGGAGGTACGTAATTGTCCGTACGTAACAGCATTAATCACCCAGCAACTGGTCTGTCTAGTCTCCTCAGGAGTGGCCAATGTGTATCCCAGTTGTGAAGTTATGTCAACAAACATGACAGAGATTTCAAGTTTGTTGCATGCAAAGTGGTTTCACTCTCATGCAGGAAAAGTAAATGCAAACAAGCAGTGCGCTACAATGACCATAAGTTAGTGTCTTAATAACCACCTATGTGTACTTAGCAAACACAAATACAAGTTCAGAAAAACAAACAGATAACAATAATATGGTGCAATGTTCGTGTAAACACTTTCTCCACTTGACCGTGTATTTTTACAAATATATTTAATAGTACCATTCTGTATATCTTGATTTTTATTCTTTATCTATCCATTTAATTAAAGCCAGCAGGTAGAACTTACATGTATCTGGTTAAGTCGTAGCTTGAGTGATAACTGACCTGGTTTTCCTTGAGCACAGACACCTGTTTTTGCAGAGATATGTTCTCCTCTTCTAGTTCGCTGTTGTCCTGCAACTGGCGCAGTTCACGTACTTTATATTCCTTCATCTCATCCCTCTGATGGCCCTTCTCTGCCTCCAGACACTCACACTCCTGTCAAACACAAACCACTGTTAAGCCACTGCAAAGCATAAAATTTAAACTGCACAATTACCTATTCCATGTCATGCACAGTTAATTTTACTTTGGGAATGAGTCCAGTGGTCTCAGGGTTTCATTTTATGTTTAATGACAAGACAGGAACTGGTGATATTCAGTATAACACCAGTATACAGGTGCATGAGGGAGCTGCTATACCTTTTTTAGCTGGCCTGAGACAACCCCCAGCCTATCAATCTCTGCATGGGCATTGCTCAGAGCAAGGCGTGCTTGCTTGAGCTCTGCCTGGAGTTCTTCCATGCGGGTTGCCATGGCAGCCTCCTTCGTGGCGGTCTCTTGCAGTAGGTTCTCCTCCCGGCACTCTCCATCAGCAGCTGCACGCTTTTGGCTGCTCACAGAATCTGCAAATGCCTTTACACACACAAAAAAAGGGTTAAGGTCAGGGCAAAACCCGCAGTATCTGGCAGGCTGCAGTAAGGTACACATTGGAATAATATGCAGTACTGAAACACAAATGCATTAATGCTGTGCTTCTCATATCAAGGCAGTAAATGTAGGCATCTTCAACAAGGGAAGGGGAAAGGACTTCACTGACAACCATCTCGTTAAACCTGATTACAGTGAGGAAATGGCTCTAATGGTTGGGTAACAAGACACCTCAGACGTTAACAGCAGCTTCCACGCTGTTTCTGTGTTTTTTATCCAGCCTATGTGCTAAAATGAGCCTAATAGATGACACTAAATGCTGTGATTGCAGGCGTTTCTTCACAGCTTGCTTTAATCAGCAACCTTGATGCATTACGCATCAGTAACTGCAGATGAAAGATCTATTAAATAGGGTGCTAAATGAAATGAACATGCTACAAAACACGCTCAACTGATCATCGTGATGTGGTTATATAATTATGCCAATTCTCAACACATGAGTCCGCCCTGCTTTGCTAAAACCCCGCCAAAGCCTAGGTAGGTAAACAGCCAAGACATGAGGTTTATGCAGATTATAAAAAATAGCTGAAATTCTGTACCACTGCGTCCCTTAAGACATAAAGAGCTTTGCTTGATACGTGGTTATAAAACATCAGGATGGCCCAGTTTTAGTGTTCGTCTGGCACAAATACATTGCTAAATATCCAACTGCTTGCAAGCAGGATTTTAAATGTCTCAATGTAAATAGGTGGATGAAACAATTGCACCATCAAAATGTGCCCACATGATGGGATTGAATTTTATGGGATTAACTTCTTATATAAACCATTTTTTTCAGCAATACCAATAACTTCAAGTTCCATCTGGTGCATTTGTGCCAAAGTTCACAACTGTTAAACAATATTAACCCCTCACACATCAGTCATTCAGCACAATGTCAGCATGTGCATGAGCATTAAAATTACACATAAATTATGACATAACATGCAGTTTAGAAGAAAAACTGTCAAGTTGTCAATTTGGCAACTTGACAGAGAGATTTCAAATAAAACACTAGTTAGTTTAGAACAGAAATGAGAAGCATGTGTCACAATTACAATACAGCTGAGAAAGACATGGATTAGATGATAATCTGAGCATTGACATATTGGTCTAATCTTTTTATCTTGACTATCCGGCGCTAACCTAATGTAATCCTTAATGCTGTGCAGTTAAGTATCAAAATCAGTTTAAGATGAACAGAGAAAATGTAATACTGTAAAAGCACCGGATGTGCTGACTAATTGGCTGTTGAAGTTGTCTTAATCATTAAACAGTGTTCTCCCTCTGACGCCATCGGCATCAGATGACACACGAAAGCAAAACTGACTCAGCGTGTGCTCACAAGCCTCTTCATTCAAAGTATAACATGAGGTCACAGCTGTAACAGAACTGTCATTGTGGTAGCAGAAAGACAGAGTTAGCCAAATGAAATTAAGGGATGAGCAATCAAATTCATGTCATAGGTCACTGGTGCTTATGAAAAAGACACAATGGTATCTTTACAGGACGACTGCGTACACTGGCAGCTCCTCTGCTGTTAAATTAAAATGAGCAGCCTCGATAGATAGTATTTAAATTTTGACTGCATTTACATTTTGGCAATAGTGCCATGTGGCAGCAGGTAAGTCCACAAACCTGTGTTATTGCATCTTGTTTAATATATCCTGCAATAATCCCACAGTGTGTTACATTAGCTTGCGTAAATTTACGTATATAAAAGGATTGCGACCAGTGTTGTGTTCCTTCCTGCTGTAATCTTCTTTCAACATGGGGGAAAAAAGTGACATCCAAGAACATTCTGTGAAAATCCACTACACATGCTGGTTGGAAGTCTCAACTAACTTTCATCAGTCAGTGTGAATTTGAATACAGGAAATGCTTCTTTCAATTATAAGCAGCACCTACATCAAACCAAATCCATAAAGGCAAAAATCTGCTTTCACTGAGCAAAAGAAATGTGTGGTAAAAAAGGGTCATAAAGCAGTAGTAGCGTGTTATTGGAAAACAACATTTGCAGGGGGAATGAGACCTTCACAAACCTAACGTTGTCTAAATATAACTAGAAAGCCTGAGGTGTTCCTACCTCTTTGAGCTGCTGCAGCTCCCCTTTGAGGGCCTCATGCTCCTCTTCCAGCTGCCTGTGTTTCATCTTGAGGGCAGCGCTTTCCTCCAGCACCACCAGGCCATAGCGGGCTGCCTGTAGCTTCTCCTCTGTGGCCTCCTGGAGCTCCAGAGTCAGCCGCACCACCTCAGCCTTCAAGTCTCCGCTCCCCATCTCCACCTCCCCTTCTCTCTCTGCTGCTGCACCTGCTGCATCTGCATCGGCCTCCAGCATCCTTGCCTGGCCTCCAACTTGTCTGCCAACGTTCTTCTGGGACACCTGCCTCCTTCACTCCCCCACTCTCATTCCTCCAGACTACAGAGGAGAAATACAAAGATGGTGGTTATGTAAACTAGTCAGAACAATAGCCGGTGTGGCAAAGAGGTTTTGTATAAATCATATTGTGTCACAAACTGGGCAAAGGGGAAGATTAACTATGGGATTGAGTGAATGGAAAAAACACTTATACTTTGAGCTCAAAGGGCCAAATGGCCACAAGAAAAACAAAGCTATAAATTATCTACTGCTGCAGTTTGCAAATATTTAGTTAGTAGGTATAACTAATAATCTGGGCATACAACAAGCATATTGCTGCCTTTCATCCTCTTAAAAGGGAGTTAAATAGGCCATGTATTAAAAGATTGTCGCTATGAAACTGGGATGCAAGGCTGGCAAGTACACATCACTGACCAAATTGCTTTTCAACATCAGCAGCGTCATCTCACAATACGCTGATAGCTACAGCTAATGTTAGCTACACAGTTATGACAGCTGTGGGAAGTGTGGTATTCCCAAGTGTCCCTCATAAAGTAGCCGTGGAAAGAATATGGATTAAGAATACTTTGGCCATCAGTATCAACTGGGTGGGGCTGACTTCCCCCATTTCCTCGTGTACTCTTCTTTGACCGAAGATGGAAACACCAGCCACCGGCTGTCCGGTGCCAAATGATGCATCCCATGAGCATCTGTTTCACATAGCCGTCAAACTAGTTCTTCGTAGCATCAACTAAGTGTAAATTTAAGGATGCGTGGTGACATATTACATGCCCGTCCCCATAACTCCAAAGTAAGAGGGTATCTGAGAGAGTGAAATATATTCTGACAGGGAAACAAAACCTAAGACGACACCGGACTGGGAACAGGACACGGCCGGACAGCTAGCAAGACTAGTTTTAGGCTATAATGCAGGCAGCAAATGGCACCGTGATGCTACTAGCAACGACGAGTTAAAGAATTTAGCTAGCTAGCGTCCTGTCTTTGCAATTAGAAACATTTAATTAGGCTTAACGTAATAGACGACATCACATTACCCGGCTCACGGGGCTATTCTCCGGTGCTAACGTCAATCAGGATCCTGCCAGACAAGCTAATTAGCTAACGCTACATAGCGACCATTAGCCAAACTAGCCACTCACCCTCTGGGTTTAATTCAAAGATGGAGCTCGCGAGTTGCACGTAACCGTTGGCTGTGTACTTCCTCAGGTAACTGTCAGCGGCAACGGTTGCTAATCACGCCAGTAGCCGGGGGTACCAACCAGCCCAGGTAGCTGAGCAGCCGCTTTCCTTCCTCCCACCCGGTTCTCTGGTTTCACACACAGTGAGGGCTTGGGTGTTAAAAGCGCGCCGAAAACGTGAAAGCACGATTACCCCCTCTAGCTAGGCAACGGCGAAATGCAACTACACTAAATTCTCTTTAATTCATGTATTTGTGTGGTTTTTGATGTCGGACAAAAAATAAACATGAATAAAATAAATACAACCATTTTATTTCATTAATTAACGAGCGAAATAAATAATAAAAGATTCGTGTAGAAATGCACTTCCGCGCGTTCCTTTCTTTACTTCCGTTTCACTTCCGGATGTGCACATTTGCCTGGCTGCACTGTCTCCACTTAGTTCTGCACCATGAAGATCGTTACCTGGAATATAAATGGCATCAGGACTTTCAGAGGAGGCATTAAAAAGGCTCTTGATTCACTTGACGCAGATATTATCTGTGTTCAAGAGACAAAAGTCACAAGTAAGTGGTGTTTGGAAAACGCGGGAACTATCATGTAACGTTATCGGTCAGAAGTCTGTTTTATAGTAAAGAAAACATAAACCCATACATTTTTTCCACCACAGGAGACTTGCTCGATGAAAGAACTGCCATTGTTGACGGCTACAACTCCTATTTCAGCTTCAGTCGAGGACGCAGCGGTTATTCAGGTCCATTACACTGTCATAACAATTCAATCTGTGTCTCTGAATCAGAAAAGTCCTTATTTTTTAATATCAGTGGCCTTCCAAAATAAAAGACTGCCATAATGACCTTCACTGAATGGGCACTTAATTATTAAAGTAACAGAATATCCCTGTTAATGCCACTGCCCGTTGATACACGTTTCTACACCATACAAACTAATTCTCATGCACAGGTGTTGCTACCTACTGCAAAGACAGTGCCGCTCCATTTGCTGCTGAGGAGGGTCTCACAGGGCTGCTGACTAACCATGAAGGGGCTGTTGGATGTTATGGTGACCAGGCTGAGTTCTGTGGCGAGGAGCTGCAGCTTTTGGACAATGAAGGACGGGCAGTTATCACACAGCACAGGATCATGTAAGAGAAAAAATGTTCCACTTGGAGGTTCCTGATAACAACATACTTCTTGCATGTTATATGTGTTGTATTGGGAATTTTCTGTGATCATGTACTAATATCATTTTTTTAAAAAAATGTAACTATTGAAGCACTACTAGCATATCCCTTGCAGTTTTTACAAGCAGCCAGATTTTGATCAATTCAGAGTTTTCTCTTGCAAGTCGTTAATCAAAACATTATTGTTGCCAAAGCCCACAAGGGAGATTCTGATGTGTGTATGATTCATTTCGTTAAGTAGCTGTAAGCCGTAGATGTCCGCGCCTCTTTTTGACTCTGTTTTACCCCCCCAGGTGTCAGGACAAAGAACAAACTGTGACTATAATCAATGTGTACTGTCCACGGGCTGACCCTGAGAAGCCGGAGCGAAAGCGGTTCAAACTGCAGTTCTACAAGTTGCTTCAGAGTCGGGCTGAAGCTATACTGAAAGATGGCAGGTGAAAGTTCAGAAAAATTTCCACAGACTGAAAATAAAGGTTGTAGTTACAATGAGGCACAGCTGTATCCTGCTTTCACCACAGACCTTTGACTGACCTTATTTCTTACAATGTAGCCTTTTACCAATTTATACCTGTTGCAAAGTTGAATTTAAGCTATGGCACACATGTACCTTGCTGTCTATGCACTTTGATATGTTTCATGTCACAAGTCTATAAAATTCACCAAAACTTACAGCAGTTTAAAATGTGATGAAAGTATAACATTGAGTCTTTCATTAATAGTCTTATTTTAGACTACGTATTTTGAGAGGTTCCAACTTACTTCTTCTCATTAAAAACTCTGAGTTAATAGTTTTTCTTTTCTGTTCTGTTTTGTTTTTCAGCCACGTGATTGTTTTAGGAGATGTAAACACATCTCACCGGCAAATAGACCACTGTGACCCCAGTGATAATGTAAGTAAGTTTATAATACACCAAGAAAGCACCGAAACATACAAAATTAATTCTGTTGTGGTACTAATTATTAGTGCAATGTGGTCGCTTTTTATGATAAAGTTCAGTTGCACTTGTTTTAACAAATAAATACAAATTTTAAAAAGCATTAATGATTTTTGTAAGTTTAATATATTATTACTCTGTTGTTAAAGTGGCGTTACTTGTGGTGAGAAGCACATTATGACTCATTTAGGATTTGAAACTCAAAGTTTAGGACCTGGGACTTGTCAGTTTTTAATTAGGACTTGACTCGGGACTTGCTTGTCTTTGACATGGGACTTGAGTGCAAAGACTTGTGACTGTCTTGTGACTTAAAAAACAATGACTTGGTCCCACCCTCTGCAGCCAGCAGCTGGTTAGCTTAGCTTAGCATTAAAAATGGAAAAGCAGTAGGGCTGCAATTTACGACTGTTTTCATTGTCGATTATTTCCTGTTAGTTATTTGGTCTATAAAATGTCGAAAAATTCCAATAAAATGTGTTTCCCAAAGCTCAAGATGGCATCCTCAAATTTCTTGTTTTGTTACCAGCCGAAAGATATTCAGTTAATTGTCATAGATGAGTAAAGAAACAAGGAAACAATCAAATTTAAGAAGCTGGAATCAGAATTATGGCCTGTTTTCATAAAAAAAAAAAAAATACTCAAACTGATTAATCTATTATCAAATTAGGTGGCAATTAATTCAGTAGTTAACAACTTATTGATTTATGGTTACAGCTTTAGTAAACAGTTAGCATGGCTCTGTCCAAAGATAACAAAATCTGCTCACTAGCACCTCTAAAATCTCTTATTTCATGTTTTTAATCAAACAAATCTGCATGAAAAAAACGACTAGTGTCAGCTGTGACAAAATGTCAGTGTTATGTTTCTGTCAAATGAGCACAGTGGATGCACATTTTTAACATGAAACTCTGCTTACTTTGTTTTTCTTATTACTTAGGATGATTTTGATGAAAACCCTGGGAGGAAGTGGCTGAATGGCTTTTTGTACAGTGGCAGACAAGAAGAGGACGAGAATGAGGAGGAACATGAAGGAGAATCTGAGGTAACATCAACAGATCCCAACCACGGTGGAAAATTCATGGACACCTTTCGCTATTTCCACCCAACTCGCACCAGCGCCTTCACATGCTGGTCCACTCTCACTGGAGCGCGGCAGACCAACTATGGCACGCGCATCGACTACATATTCGCTGACTGCCAGCTCGCAAAGGAGCAGTTTGTTGCAGCAGACATCATGCCAGAGGTAGAGGGGTCAGACCACTGCCCCGTGTGGGGGGAACTGAGCTGCTCACTCCTGCCGAGCTCCAAGCCTCCTCCCCTCTGTACACGCTACCTGCCAGAGTTTGCTGGCAAACAGCAGAAACTCTCCCGCTTCTTTGTGAAGGTGGACCAAAAATCAGCTCAGTCTGAGCAGAGCGATGCATTACCTGGATCTCAGGAAGAGCAGGAGAGGAGGGAGAATTTAAACCCATCCGGAGCAGGAAACACCTCTGGCAAAAAACGGTTATTAACATCAGACTCTGTTGTCCCCAAGGGGAAAAAGACGAAGACAGTTAAGACATCTTCAAAGCCACAGGGCAGCCTCCTTTCCTTTTTCAAACCTAAACCCACAAATGTCATTTCCTCTACTGAAGCCTCTGTCAGGCAGTGTGAAAACACACCCAGCATGGACAAAGATACCTCATCACAGAACCCCAAAGAGGCATCCTCAGTCACAGGCAGCGTCCCTGAAGACACTGACCTTGTGCCTGATAATTCATCGCAGCTGTGCAGCAGTGGCAACACACAGGAAAAAGACAAACAGATAGAGACAAAACATTTAACCTCACAGCCAACAGTGGGAAACTCAAACACCAAGAAAGGGGCATCATCAGTGTTTTGGAAGTCAGTGCTTCATGGACCACCCCCGCCACCCTCCTGTAAGGTCCACGGGGAACCCTGTGTGCTTCGTACTGTGAAAAAAGAGGGGCCGAACATGGGCAAACAGTTCTTTGTGTGTGCCCGTCCTCAGGGACATGCCTCCAACCCTGACGCTCGCTGTAACTTCTTTTTATGGGTTGAGAAGGGGAAGTGACATGTTTACTGTTCCAACCACTGTTTTTTTCCCTTTAGCTCACACAAGCACTGTAAGGCTGCTACAGACCTCTCATCATTTCACAGATTTTAAATGTTGACTGTATTTTTTTCTTTGTTAAATAATAAAAGACGGTAGTTTTCTATTACTTTGAGCTTGGTTTTATTTTATCTTGGAGCTGAAACAATTAAGCAATCAATAGTTGATCAATAGAAAATTAATCTGCAACAATTTTGATCATCATTTTTCAAGCAAAAGTGCTAAATATCATCAGATTTCAGCTCCTGAAATGTGAGACGTTGCAACATTTTTCCATTTTGTATCAGTGTAAATTGATTATCTTAGAGTTTTGGACTTTTGATTGCCCAAAACAAACAATTTGAAGATGTCACCTTGGGAACTGGGGAATTGTACCATGCATTCCTGACGTTTTAAATACTAATTCAGCGTTCCTACCTTTTTTAATGCCACTTGAAACCAATTTTAAAATAGCTAAAATTTAAGGGAAAAAAACTCATGAACTGACATCAATTACTGAGGATTAGGGACAATTCTGCCCAAATTAACTGTGACAGAAACATGAGTTTTTTGTTCAGGTTAAAAAGTGAGATAATCTACATCAAATGCTGAAAGCATAAACAATTAAATTATATTATCAGAAAAGTATTTGGTTTGCCTTGAAAAGGCTTGTTCATATGTAATTTCATTGGATGTGGTAAACGTATGTGTTGTTAGTTCCATTATCCTGATCAGTGTGATGTTAATGCAAGGGGCATTTAGTGCATTATTATTATTATTATTATTATTATTTTTAAATAGATGTTTCCAATTATTTTTTAAATTTTACAATGCAATAACAGAAAAACGTTTTCTAATATCAGACTTTTGTGTCTTGGTATTTTTAAGATTTTTATTGATTGCTTTAAGACACTTTAAAACCAATTATTGCCTTATTTTTAGATTAATAAATTCAGCGCCTTCTGAGACTATTCGACAATCTGCGAGACCCTGTAAATGATTAATCAGTCAATAGACCTTTTTTCATAGCAGGAAAAGCACAGGTGTATTTAATCACATTCATGATAGCTGCATTCCACTCAAAGGAGACCAGTATACTGTCCATGCTGGCTCACTGCAACAGCTTACAGGGACACTTTATGGAACTCAGCCATTGCAAATGCTACCAGTTTCACCTGTGCTTTTCCTACTGTGACAATGTCTGCTGTGATAAAAGTCCATTGTGAAAGTAATTGTCAGTTGAATCAATTCTGAGAATAGCTGCAGTCCTGCTTTTTCTCATTGACTGATAACGTATAAAACATATATGAACCTGGTGTGTGCAGGAATGGGTCAGTTAAAGTCCAATGGTTTAAAATGTCAGTTATTTTGATAATTGAGTGAATATTCTAATTATCACACCTGGATGCCATCTATGATGTTGGTTACTATATTTGTATAATGTGTATATCTCTTGTTTAACCAGGTTAAAGTCTCATTGAGATAAAAAATCTTATCCAAGAGATCAGCAAAAACATGGTTACAACAACACAAGTAGGACAAATACAACTGTTGCACACCACAAATGAGCGAGCACAACATCCCGTTAAAATGCATTACATAAAACAAAACAGTTAAATACCTGGTTCGATCTCGGGAGGGAGCCCTTCTATGTGGAGTTTGCATGTTCTCCCTGTGTCAGCGTGGGTTTCCTCCAGGTGCTCCAGCTTCCTCCCACAGTCCAAAGACATGCAGGTTAATTAGTGACTCTAAATTGTCCGTAGGTGTGAATGTGAGTGTGAATGGTTGTCTGTCTCTATGTGTCAGCCCTGTGATAGACTGGTGACCTGTCCAATGTGCACCCCGCCTGTACCAGCCCCACAGACAAGAACGAACCAGCCCAAGTAGAGATTTATATACAAGTAACAACCAATGCAAACATCTGTAGACGTACAGAGAAGGCCATGTACTGCCATTTATTTCTTATTTACTCATGACCTGATGTTCTTTGGTACCTCAGTGTTTGCGCCCACTAGATGGCGGTGGCAGTGAGTTGATGATACAAAGCTGAACCTCAGAGAAGTCATGAACAGAAACTTTCCACAGTGACACATTTTTCTCACACTGCCAGCTGCACAGCGACATTATGAGTACTGTAAAGTAGACCGGTGAGCCGAGTACTTTAATCATGATGCAGTTTTTGTTTGTCAGCTGAAGGCATTTAACTTTCATGAAACACTGAACACCAAACATAACACAACACTCAGATAAATACTGACAGTGTCCAGATATTTGCACTTATTTTAAAGTACTTTATAAAGTAAGTGAGTCCCACGTGTGGCCTGAGCAGGAACAGGGAGTGGCCTGTTCTGTGACATGGCAGGAAATATCTGAACGCGCGCAATTACTACCTCCCTCCTTCCCCCATTTTTTCCTCTCCTCTTACAGCTGCAGGGGACTTCACAGCTCTGAGGAAAGCAGATTTTGGACGTCTACCAGCTGACAAGATTTAACTTTTACCCTGTTACTTCTGTCTAGACTGAGGACATCCAGCTGCCTGACTGATACCCGAGAGGTGAGTGCCAGAGGAAGGCCTGCACACCAGCACGATCCAGCTGCTCCAGCATTCGAGCCACGACACATTTCCCATTCATACACGCGGGGGGAGAAACGTGAGAATTTTTTTTATCCTTAACTCAACTGATAATGTGCTGTGTATTGACAGTAGATGTATGAAAAAAAATCTTCTCAGCTGGTTTCTGCTTCAGCTGTGGATACAGTATATTAATGCTGTCCCTTTCTTGACATGCTGGCAGTTTGCTCGGCACAGAGGTGGGATTTTAAATGACTCACTGAAATGGGAGATCATCTTGGCTGCAAATGCTGGCATCACAGTTTGGTACAGAAATAACATTAAACGTTAGATGCACGGTTTTATCCAGACAAAATGTCTCCTGATGAACTATGTTTTACATCTGTGGGTCTTTTTACATGTCAGTGGCTTCGTCCTGGAGTTCTGCCAGATCTCTTGTTCTAATGACTTTAAGTCACCATAGGGTCATTTAAGGTGATGGGGGCAGCCATGATCTTTTTATCATTCACATTCACTTCATCTGACAGACCTCGATCCTGATCATTTGCTTACAAGCTGCTCCAAATAGTCTGAACTTGACATATTAATTAATACATGGCAGTGATGTTTTTTGGTTGGCTTTTATTATGACACCCAGCTTTCTAATTATTCTTCAAGAGGTATAAAAAAGGACTCTAGTATCTGTGTATACTGCCACAAGATGAGATCAGAAAACACACGTTCCAGTAGAGTATCTGTGTCATGCTGAGATAATGTAGTAAGCATGTGGGTGTTTCTTGGGTGTGTATCTCAGTTAAACTGAAATTTATCAACCAACTGAAATGCAGTCCCAGAGAAGTGGATGACATTTTAATCTTGATGAACAAGCAACATGTTGAGCACATGTTTTTGTTGCTGCGTCTCCATATATGATGGATACGTATAGATGTCTGCTGTGTCTTTTATCACTGACAGAATGCTGTGACCTACATTTTCAGAGATACTGGAACTGTGTAGGAACATTTTAAAACCTTTTAAAATGGGTTTTGAAGGATTGTACTGCCATCAAGGATCAAAGACGTATTTTTTTTAGAAGTGAGTACAGGCCCCGCTTGACCCAGAACAATAACACACGAACATAAATAGGATGTTTAGAGGCACATAAATGTTGTAGCTCTACTTATTAAAACAAACACAAAAACCTCACATAGCCACACCTCCCCTCCCGATAATTTATCAGTAGAGATTTTCGAAAACCATTTTTTAGGTAAAATAACTAAAGATAAAACTTTTTTCTTCCTGATTCCAAAACCTTAACTTGCATATTGACCAATACGGAGTACTGACATGATACCATTGCATCAAAACAAATCTAGCACCTGTATACCACTAACCCTATATGGACGTAAAATGCTATCATTGTTTGGCATTGCTCAGGTTAAACCCTTTGTAAAACCTAAACAAATACATACAGAAAATGAACACCGTAAACTTTCTTTTATGATCTAGTTTGACATTTTGTTAATGACTAACTTTATTCATGACTTTGCCTTGCTGTGTAGGCTTATCAATGAATGTGTAAGTCTCATAATTGGAAAGGAAATTCCTTTACAAGCTAAACCGTGCATTGGGGATATGTCTTGAGGACTTTGCTGTGACACTCCAGCAGTCACTGCTCACTGATTTTGGACTTTTGCAAGCCAGAAGGACAATTGCACTATTATGGAAGAGCATGGATATACCATCTACTGGTATGTGGACTAGGGAGCTAGCAGCCTGTCTAGCTTTGGAGAAACTAACATATATTGTAAAAAGGAAAGATAAGAACTTTGCTTGCTTGTGGAGCCCCTATATGGAGTTTTTGGAAACTCAGAACTGAATTTTTTGACATTGTATGGAAATTATGTACAGCTGTATTGTTATTAGTAGTAGTAGTAATAGTAATAGTGGTGTTACTGTTAATTTATTTTTTGTATTATTATTTATTTGTTAATTATTCTAGGGTTGGGGGAAACAAACAAACATATTTGTTAAATTGTAAATGTGTATGTTGTTATACATTTAATAAAAAGAAGGGAAAGGTTTATCAATAAATAACGTGGTATCAGATCTGTGTATAGACTTATGTACTTGCCGATACCTGTTCCAATATTTTAGGCAGTATTGGAGGTATTACCAATACTGGTATCAGAACAGCTCTGACATGTAGGTTGGAATACCTGTCTTGATAAACGTGAGAAAAGAGGCCCCAGACCTTGACAAATGCACTGGACCTTCTTTGGAGCGACAGTCTTTTGTTCTCCAATTTCAGAAAGTGAAACACAATCTGAATCTAATTAGTATGAGATGGAGGTACACTCAGAATCAATCTCCTAACATGGTGAAGGCAATTACACAGTGAATTAAGTTATTTTTTCTTAGGCTACAGCTGCTGTTCGAGGCAGCAAAACATCCTTTCATTTTATAGTTATAGCTTACTAATGTTTGAACAGTGGTTACATAAAACCAGCCACAGCTCAGCCCTGAGCAAGAGTGAGAGTTCTGATGACTAATCAACAGACTTAAGTGTTTCTAGCTCC